GAGCTGCTTCTCCTTACTCACACATTTGGATTGAGAACCAGACACTGGGAAATTATTCAATGACTAGGCCAGAACTGGGGTCCAGTTTGCCATCCCTCCTGGCTGGGGAGATGGCTCAGTGGAATAAGCGCTTCCCTGGCAAGCGCAAGGGCCTGAGTTCAATAGCTGGTTCTGCCAAAAATAAACAAACAAACAAAACTAAAACCAGTTTGCCATCCTTAGAAGTTCATTTCCCTTGTCCAGACAGCCAGGAGCCTGTTCTAGAAGGTTCAAGCTGCTGTTTCTGTCCTCCAGCAGCTTTGTCTTCAGTAAACAGAAACCAACGAGTCAGCACATACGCATAGCTACTTCCACAATATTAGGATAAAGTTAGGGGAGATAAAATTTTTGTTTCCTGGCTACAACAACTGGGATAATTGAGGGACGTGGGATATGGCTAGAAACATGGCTGAAGGCTGGCAAGAGAGCATCATTAAAAAAAGAGAAAGAAAACTCAAATCTGAAACTGTATGTCAAGCTTTTCAAAGTTTAGAAACATCTGGATGATTTCCTGAAATTTTCCCTCATCATGTAAATGTTCAGGGCTCTGTAGATGCTGTCATTTTCTTTTTTTTTCCTCAATTGAAATAGAGCTTTTGAGAGAAGAAAGGATTTAGTAAGTTCTTTCCAAGCCCATTTGTCGAGTGGATTGCATTTGTGCCTTCTCTTAAAAATATGACTTCCAGCATATCAAGGCAGTTTTTGTAAATTAATATCATCATTAAAAATAAGTTGGCCTCTTCGTACACCTCCTTTAACTTGTTATTCGTGGCTGCCGTGCTAGGCTGCACAGACGGCAAGAAGTTTTGGCATGGCCCCGGGGCCCAGGGGAATATTAACTTACAAAGCTTTCCCTATTTTGCTTTTACATGTCTGAAAGTATTTCAAAACTTAGCAGCTGAAATGTAAGTTATTAAATACTCTTGACTAGAATGCAAGAACTGCTTGCTCTGCCCCGTTTAAAGAAAAGACGGTTGGGAGATGAATTAGTTCCTGGCTGTTTCTGAGTATTTGCATCAACACATAGCTCAAGATTGGGCAGAAATAGTTAAAGGAGAGTTAGATACTAGGCACAAATTAAGTGTCACCCTAGGATTTTAAAACTCCATTTTATTTTATTAAACTTTAAGGTTTGTTTCACTTATGCGAGAAACCCAGAGTATAAATGATTTATAGAGTGAGATAAAGATAGATAATAGGAAGCAGGGAGTTACAGCTTTTGCAAATGGGAAGGGGGCCCCCGCTATAGAAGGAGGAAGAGGAGGAGGAGGTTAAGGGGAGTTAGTGGAATTAAGACCACTTATGTACCTGTACCAGTTCTGCAGGATAAATGTGATCATTATGTACTGAAAATGCACTAATCAAAATTTTTTAAAAATAATTCTAGATGAGTGGAGATATTGGGTGTGTGTCAAAATGGGAAAGAGGGATTCTTTGGGTTTTGGTTGTTAGAGCGTGCAGCCCCAACTCTGCAAAAGTGTCCTGTCCCCTTATCTTTGGTGGGGCTCTGGCCTCAGGAATCAGGAGCCAGACTGAGGGGTGGGGGTTGGTCTCTCGGAGGCTGTGCCTTTCTCTCCCCTTCCAGGCTTGCCCAAGTGTGCCTCAGTGCAGACTGCTCCTCTCGGTGTGTGTTCCTCTGTGGGTGCAGGGCCAGACACTGCTTGGGTACAGTCACGGGAGGCTGGGAAGTGTCTGTGGGTCTCCAGCAGCTGGAAAAAGTTTGAGCCCCTTTGGCAGATGTTTGCTGTTCCAGCCACTTCATTAATGTTGGAAACAAAACCCCTTACTCTTCTGACCCGAGTTCCACTCTGTGATTGACAGCTGGGGTGTGCTTCCTCTCACAGAAGTGGTTCAGAATCTGAGAGCCACAGCGAGGGAAAGAAAAGAGGGAGATCAGAGCAGCAAAGGAAAGGGGTTAGGCGCCATAGCTGAAAACCCAAAATTATCAAGGAAAGAGAAGAGACTCATTTAAGCAGAAAGACAAATTTAGTACAACTAATTAAGCTTTGATGTCCAATCAAATACATTATATAATTTCCTTTCCCCAGCTTTCATGCATTTATTCATGATGCATTTACTGAGAACTGACCGTGTGCCAGGTGCTATATGGGTATTGTGGTACACGATGAACAATCCTGTATTGGGCATTAGCGTACCAGAATTCATTGTCCTGTGGGTGAAATAAATGTGCAATGGACAATTCAACAAAGGAAATGCTAGGATAGAGATGGAAGCCACAGAGGACAGCCTTGGGGTGTGCTGACACTTTCATGGAGAAGGTGACGCTGAAGACTGATCTCCAACTATGGTTTTTGGCCCTGAACAAGGGAGGGATGTTCTGTGGAGGGCATTTCAACGAAAAGGAACATACTCGCATAAAGGCACGGATTATGAAAGGTCGCCCTAATGACAAGTAGAGATGATGACAACCCCTTTACAAAAGAGAAACCTGGCTTAGCGTGGGTTAGAAGCAGCAGAAGTCCGAGGCTCCTGACTGGGAGATCTGCAGTCTCTCTCACCAGCTTCGGGTTTGTGCACCCGCAGACCCTCCCCATCTCCAAGATTTCTTGCCTGTGTGAGATAGAGAAAGTGAGAAATTCAGTGAGCTGACAGGAATGTTTGATCTCCTGAGTTATTAGAACACCAAGTATTTTAGATCAAATCTCCGGAAGAGACTGAGGAAGTTTCTGTCTGTGGTTAAGTTGGGGGTGGGAGGAGGACTTCGAGGCTGGAAGAGCAGAGGCAGGTAGAGGCCTTGGCTCCTCTGGTCCTTGCCGGCCAGGCTGGGCTCTGCTCTCGGTCCGAAGTCCTGCATCCACTGTGAGGGGCCTGCAGCCTTCCCATGGTAGGGAAGAGATGCAGACTTCCAACTCAGGAACGTGGGGAGGAGGGGGTGGAGGAAGACGGGGAGGGAAGACGAAGGATGGGTTTTAGGGAGAAAAACGGTGGGGAGAAAAGAGAACCAGGAAATTGGACAAAGGAGAAGAGGCCTAAATTGGGGGAACAATGAGGGGAAAGAGAAATGAGTGGGAGGAGAGAAGAGTTAGTGGAGGTGGAAGGACTGAGAAGCGCCGGAGGGAAGGGCAGTGCAAGACAGGGTCCGCGCAGGACCAGGGCGCCTCCCACGTATACACTCCAGGACCTGAAAAAGCCTAAAGGCGTCAGCTCAGCCCGCGGTCAGGCAGCCAGGCATCAGGTTGCCTCCTGTCACTCAGGTGCCAGGCTTCCAAGCTCCGGCAAGCCCCGAGTTTCCTCAGCCAGGCTCTCAGACCCTGAGGAACACTCAGTTTCTTTCAAGTGGTCACAGCCACGCACTTTCCTGGGGGCAATAAGCTCACAGGCGACCAGGATTGCTCTTGGAGCCAACGCTGTGTCCTTCGGATACAGCTCCGGCGCCAAGGGCCACAGGCTCCTGCCCTACTTGTGCCGAATGCCGCCCTTCGGTCGTGGCGCTGGGTGGCTACGCGAAGGCTGAGTTGCGAGAGGCTGGGGTAATGAGCCCAGGCAGTCAACAGGCCGCGGGGCCGGGACAAGTCCGGGGGGCGGGTGTGGGCGCCAAGTGGCAACCCTACGCCCCTTTAGCTAGACGCGTGCTGTGGTTAAAATCACCGGACGACAGTGTCCAGGTCCCCTGACCCACCTGTGCTTGGAGAATAAACGCATTTCTAAAGGAAGAGGAGGGGGAAGTCAGAGCATTTTCTGACACGTGGGAAGGTCTCTAACTGCGGATTGCGGGCCAAGCCTAACGCTACCTACATCCTGACTCGATCTATTAGTACCTATCCCCTATGAGCCCCTGATTACTATTTCTCCAAGTGTCTTCCTTCTGCTGAGTTTAACCGCTAGCCCAAGGGCACGCGTCGACTTGCTTTTCAGCTGCGCGGGTCCCGGGTCTGCAGCTCCGCAGAGCCGCTTCCAGACGGCGAGGGGCAAGCGACCTCCCCGGCTGTCAGTGTCTATAATTCTGTGTTCCTGTTCCCTAACATGCATTTTCTTTCCAGACCCACGCACCAATTCGAGACAAAATCGTGGAACTCGGCGCGAATGCAACGGTTCCTGGAGCCAGCAGTGCGCGGCTCAGGCAGTGGAACCCGTAGGGGGCTCGGAGGCTCGGTTGGGGGGTGCCCGACCCAGCAAGTGTCCACTGAAAACAAAAGATCTTACAAACATGTATTGGAGCAGAGTGAGAAAAAGGGAAACCACCCCCAAAAACATGTCTTCGCAACTACCAATCCTACGGAGTCCTTAACTCGGGAATGAAAAGCCTCTGGGCCGGGAGGACAGCGCTCTGGAAGTCCGCCTGGGCTGATTGCTTGGAAGCCCGTGGGCACTGCGGTACCCTAGAGTTGCGTTGTGCCGATCCTTTCCGAAGAGGCGAAATATCTTATAAGTAAGGCTTAAACATAAAAAAGAACGAATGCTTTTAGTACTTTTTTTTTTCCAGCTTGTTATTGGCTTAACGGACTGAGCCACGGTCATTCACTGCCAAAGTTTACCCCTTTGGCGCAAAAGCCCCACGTTCCTAACGCGCGAGCTCGCGGCAGGTTTCGGGGACACAAGTGCAGGGAGGCGAAGCCCCGGGCCTCAGGAACCGGTCCAGGTGGAGAAGGAAACTCAGTTGTCCTGGGGTTGGGGGAGATGGCGTGGTGGCCCGACTCTACTTCTTTCTGGCGGTACCTAGAAGTACCCTCCCTCATCACAGGCGTCAGTAGCCTAGCCTGCCCTGTGGGCGCAGAACTGTCCCTAAGGCGTGCCGAAGAGACACCCGCTGGAAAAAGCAGCAGGCGGAGGCCGCGTCTGCGATCGCTGGCGGCGAGCTGCCCGCACTGCGCGCACACTTGCGCGCGCACCCTGAGCACACACCTGGAGCTCGTGGGGGTGGGGGTTGGGGGAGGAGAGCCAAACCAAGTGTCTTAAAATAGAGAACCAGGCAGAGCAGCTCTAGACACTAAGAAGGGGGAGGAGGAGACGAAAGCTGCTGGCACTAGGCGCGCAGGTCAGCGCCCTGGTCCCACGGTTGGCAGGGGTGGGGGTGGGCGCCGACGCCCCTCGCCTGGCACTCCGCACCTGGCCCTGCGGGAAGTGCTTGCTGATTGACAGCTGCGTTGTCCCAAAAAAGCTCGCCAAAGATGCTGATCTGCGGGTGGGTGTAGACGCGCAGCAGGCGCGCCGGTGCCCGCTCCCCTCTGCGCGCCTCCTGGGCCCGGCCGTCTCCCTGGCTGTGGACAAGCGGGGCTGTCGCCCCCGCCCCGCGCCACCCCCGCGGTCCCCGCCGGCCGGGCCCTCGAAGTCCCGCTCAGGTCGGCGGGCGCCTGCTCGTCCCAGCTCACCATGCACTGCCACGCCGAACTGAGGCTGAGCTCTCCCGGCCAGCTCAAAGCAGCCAGGCGGCGCTACAAGACTTTCATGATCGACGAGATCCTGTCCAAGGAGACCTGCGACTACTTTGAGAAACTTTCTCTCTACTCTGTGTGCCCGTCGCTGGTCGTGCGACCCAAGCCCCTGCATTCCTGTACGGGTAAGACACCCTGCTAAGGGGTGAGTGGGGTGTGCCGGTAGCTTTTGCGCCGGTGTCTGTCACCTCCGCTCTCCGACCCGAGGGGGAGTGGAAGAGGCGCAGGGGTTCTTTTTCTGCGCTCCTGCACCAACACCAGACTGCCCAGCGGTGGGCATCGCAAAGGCGTCTGCAACTTGGCGGGGCAAGTCCCGGTAAAGTGTCGGAGCCGCGATCGGAAATCTGGTAAAGGCTGCGCGAACCTAGGAGCGGTCCCGCCCGCAATCCTGCAATACCAAGTGGTGCTGCTGGAGGAGAGCGCTTCCTCCTTCCGACCGACCGCTGTGGTTTCGAGTCAGAAAGTTCAAATGCTTGACCTGATTCTGCGCCTAAGTCATTGTTTCAGGAAGTGTGGTTGTGGGTTTCAACTTCGGTCTACCGGCGGGGCTTCTCGCCTAGAGCTAGCTCCTCCAACCTCCTACTGCCTCTGCTGGGAATTTGACAAGTGAGGCAGTATTTTGAGGTTCATAGCAGTCCTGCATTCACAGAAGTTAGCTTGAAATGTCCTCCTTCTAGTGAAGTCTGTTGCCTTTATGACTTGTGCGGAAAGGAACAAGTTGCATCTGTTTTAAGGGACTAAAACCAACAACAATAATACAAGCACACCACGGATCTGGTTCCTCTCTCTACAAGAGCTGAGATCAATAGAAAAGAAAGCTTAGTACAAATATTGAGAAAGTTGTAGGTGTACAACTTGTGTAGAAAATTAATTCAGAGATATTTAAAAGGATTTTGCTTTAAGAAGTGCTCTTAGTTTCAGATTGCCTTGATATAATTAGGATTTAGTCTGTGAAAACGTCAGTGTAGCAATAATAATGATAATAATTTGAAGCAGATTTGGAAGGATTTTTTGAAACATGATAGGGATTCTTACTATTGAATTCTAAAAATTTGTGTGTTGGCTATTTGTGAACCCTTGACAAATATCCAGCATTCATATTGACTAGAAGTAGGCTAAATTTTGTTTTGGACAACAATTATTTGCTACAATAACCAAAATCTCTTTGAGGGGGGAAAAAAAAGATGTTGTGTTTCAATCACAAATTTCAATGCACCCAGCCCATTCATTGCATACTACAGAGGTTCCTAAAACAAAACACAATTCCTAAGCACTTATATATGGCCTGGTGTCTGAGGACGTTTCAGTGACTTTGGATTAAATCTGAGGCAGCTTTTCTTGGTTTATTGGAGTCATGGAATTAAATCCTCGTCAAAACCAAGGCAGAAACAGCAGTAAAGAGCATCAGAAAATACTCATCCAATCAGTTTAGGCTAAATTCTGTTGTATTCAACTTGTGCGTGAAATCGGTGGAAAACACAGAGATTCGTAGGTAACATGGTGGTTACTAAGGCAAATTAACCTATAACACAGGCTAAAGTTTTGCTCGATCTTGTGCTTCTAGGAGTTCATGGATGGTTATGGCAGAAGACGGCTTTTGGCAAGGATTTTCTTGCCCTGTCTTCTCAGCGCTTCTTCCTTTTAGATTGTTCCTTTCAAAATATATCATGATTTTGCTCTAGTTAAGAGTTAAAATATAGAAACTAGGATTTGCTAGTGGAATTAAACTCATAAAAACTGGCTACAATAGTTCATACTTTCAAATCATAAGCCTTCAGTGGGTTTACGATTACAGCTAAAGCCTTACATGTATTAGATCATGGGAATCCCACTAGTGACTTCTCAGGGGTTTTGCAAATTCCAGGCTTTCAAAGTACGTTTGTTGTTTTTAACAGTTAAATTAAGGATAAAAAATCTAAGGTTGGATGAATGTAATATTTTTTAAAGACTTATAAAACTAATGACAATAACTTGCTGATAACCATTTAAAAAGTTGACTTTTTGGGATATAGATACTTTTTTTTTTTTCTTTAGCACTTTTGGTACAATCAGAGCCTAAAAAGTTCAAATCAAGTAAAAGGCATAATTAGAACTAAAGTTACTTTACTTTGTTATTTTTTTATTTGCTGTCTTAAGATTTAATTAACTGCAAAAGAAGAAAACTTTGTCGGGTAAAGGGGAGGAAAGAAACTTTTAAAGGGTCAAAAATTACTCAGTTGAAAGAGTTGCCAGTACGTACAATAGTACATACATTTGGGGTGGAAAGAAGTTATAGTATTTAGAAAATCTTTACATAATTAAGCAGTTCTTGTTTACATTTAGTAATCCAACTGCAAATTTATGGTCCTAAATTTCTTCAGGCAGAAAAGCTTTTATTGTATTCAAGTAAGCAGAGAATGGAAGTATTTTGGGTTAGGCAGATTATCACTTGGTACTAATTAATTATTAAACACTTTAGTCTTGGTAGAAAAATTATTGTTTGACAGATCCTTAGTATAAACATAGTAATTTTGGTCCTAGAAAACTGTCTCTAAATTTCTCAGTAGATCCCTTAAACCACCTTAGTGGGTATTTAGTAAGGGAATCCTGTCCTTTTAAGCCAAACAAAAGGAAAGTTTATAATTAAATTTAAAATAAAATTTAAAAGATAGCATGAAGAAAGCCTTCTTAATTTAGTATATGACATGTTGGTCTTATTTTAAAATCTGCTTATTGTAATCCCCATTCAGAATGGAAATATATTGCCATTTAGAAATCAGTAATTGTTTCTCATAGACATTACAATGGCGATGTCACTATTTAATTTTAGGCTTGATTGTCTTTTTCTGGTTGTGCTTAATATTTCATGGTGGGAAATCACTAAAATGGGCTTTTCAGGATGGAGAAGATCGCAGAGGAGGTGGTACTACCATTTTTGATGGCTCTGACTTTAAGTTTAATCTTTAGAAATAGATTGTCTAAATTTGGAAAAAAAATGGGTAATTTACTTTACAGAAATAAGAATGTAATAATACTTTACCCTAATGGTTTTTGGATCAAGGCACTGACATACAGGCCTATGATGCTAGTTTTTTCTGATTGTGTTTATGTGTAGAACTCGGAATGGTCACACTACGTTTGCACATGCACGGAGTAGAGTGGGGTTGGTGAATGTAGATATTTCATCATTTTGCAACCTGGGACATTTTTCCAGCGCTAAAACCTGTAGTCTTTTTGCTCCTTCCCTGGCAGAATGATTCTATCGAACGTCTCTGTTCCCTCCAGAGCTCACTCAGATGGACCTGGCCATGGGCTTTAGAGCTGGAAGGGGTCACAGAGGTCAGCTTCCCCAAGTGGAAGACTGCATTTTGCAAAGGGCCAGGGTCACACCCTTGCTTCAACATAGTGTCAGTGCTCTTTTTATATGGATGTCATTGTCAGGATTCTCAGAAATCAGTGACATTTTTCCATTTTGGTATGTACCAAAGATAAATATGTGAAATCACGCCCAGGGGACAGTCAACCAGCCAATTAAAAGAAACACTGAGGAAGGGTAATTATCTTAAGAGGTGGCATTGAGAACATTTTATCCTTTGGTGGGTCCAAGAGAAACAAGTTCTTTGGGGTGTTGTCCTTGGGTGCATTTGTATCACAAAGACTGTGTGTCACCCCAGTGAAAAATTAAATGAGATGCCGCCATGTGGAATGACTTCTTCAGGAGTTAGGGAGCTGGCTACTGCTTCATGAAGTGACACCCAATGTCTCCCCCATGGCTTTGGTTTTTCAGTCAGGGACCAAAACCCACAGGATTGAAGGAACCTGAGCATTTGGCACTGGAATATGAATGTAAATTGGGATCTGGGAAAATGATCATTATCAACTCAAAGTTGTATTTCTGCCAGAGGCAACTAGGCTTTTATTAGCAATTACTCAGAACTGCTTCTCTTGTTTCCATTCTAAGGGTAAATAAGTCGAGAGACCCGCGGGATCCAGGACTCATTCAGAGTCAGGATATTTTTGGAACTAAGCTGTTATCTCATTAGTTCTTTAAGTTTTAAACTCCTTTTTAAAATTGAGATGCTGAATGTTTCCTTTGGAACGAGTTTTTTCTAACTTGTGAATAACTCAGCACTGTCACCACTGGCCCTGATTTTTCTAATAGCAAATTAGAAAGTGATTAAAAATTTTGTTCATAAGTTGAAATAATTCTTTCTCTAAAGGTCTGTAATTGTCAGTATTATTTAGCTCAACAAATACGTTTGCTTAGAGAGGGCATTGTGGTTGAACTCATTAATTTAAAACTTACCTTAAATTTTTTTGTGGGGGTGGTAGTGGGGACCTTGTTCATATAAAGTAAGTGCTTTACCACAGCCACACTCCCAACCCATAAATCTTGACAAGTATTTGGGGTGTTCAAAAAAAATCCCTGTAAATTACTTGGAGAATCTCTGCCTTTGTTGTTCTCTAAGGAATAAATATGATGGGCAGTTTGGAACTAGGGTGGGGAACATAATGATGATCTAATACTTTTGTTTTCCAAGAGGAGATTTTTCTTTGAACTCCACCTATAGAGCATTAGCCACAGTGAAGTTGTCAAATTAGCCTCATTAAAAACAATGCAAATAAAATTTTATTCATACATATAGACAGCTGATTTCTTATAGTAGACCAGTTATACTTCTGGAAGGGATGCTGACTTTATGACCTAAGCATGGACAGTATACAGTTGATAGTATTATGTCAGGAATTGGAAAAGAAAAAGGAATTGAAGATGAAGACTTAAACTGAACATATCCCAGGCATCTATGGGAGAAGCAGTAAAGCTTGAAAAAGGTTAATTAAATTATAGAGACCAAGTTTTTTTTTTCAAAGAAGAGAATAAGGAAAAAAGAGTGTATTTCTTTGAAACTCTTTTCTATATTTGGCAGTGCTGGGGCGTGAATGCAAGGCCATTGCACTGAACTATGTCCTCAAGCCAAATGTTATTTTATTGTTTCTTGAGAGAGGGTCTTGCTAAGTCACCAGGTTACCCGGTTAAACTTGAGTCTGGATTCCTTCCGCCTGTGTCTCCTGGAGTGCTGGGGTTGTAGGTGTGCTCCACTGTGTTTGGCTCCTTTGAAGTTCTGAGATGATGTAGATGGAGCCT